AAGGATGGAAGACGATTCGCGCTCACTTAAGAAATCATACGAATCCGTCATTTTCATGTCCACCTAAAATGGCGCTTCGGTTCGCAAGGTACGGCGGTTGGTTGTGATTCTTTAACATGCACATCAATCTTYAAACTTACCAGGTTGGGGCATGACCGAATATGGTGGCAAACCTTCMGATATCTTRCAACAAGCTCGKCTTCCACTCGCGTCTGACGAAAGCTGCACGATGGTTAACGAAGCCCTCCGAACAGTTGACACTCTAACGATGCTTTGCGCCGGGTATGGTGGCAATATCTCTGTTAGTGGTTGTCATGGTGATAGTGGAGGTCCGTTTGTTTGTCAAGAAGAAGGAGGACGTTGGTTTTTAAGGGGGATCGTTAGCTGGGGTGAYCACAAGTGCACCGGACAACATTACAATGTTTTTACACGCGTGAGYTCGTTTATCGATTGGATCAAATGCAAGATGAACGCTAAACCTCTAGCGAGACGTAAGTGTWAACTTGGTTATAACGTGAAGCTGTGCCGTGCTGTCCTGTATATTTGCATTTTGCCGTTCTGCACGTTCCTCACTAAACTAAGTTCTTTTCAGTTTCGACTCATTGATGCTCATTAAATACTCAAGGACCCAGTTAAGTCCCTTGCGGAACACCGGCCACACCGGACCATTGTACTTAGAGTATTCTATTTTCAAATGACCGCGCGTAATAAAGTCGGTCGAGTTCATAATCATAAATTATCAATCGTTTTTAATCTTTAGCTGTCGGCTGTACAGACGCACACTTCTATTGTAAACAATGGAAAGCTATGGGCTTCTGCAAAATGGACTATTTTGCACATCTGATCAAAGGTTACTACTGCAAGAAAACGTGTGACGCATGTTGAACGTTACGTTGGTAAGTCGTATCAACAAATGATTGGACTATATATTTTCTTTTGAATGTTSAAAGAGTTAACGCTTCTTTATTGCAAGAAGCTGTTATTGAGTTTGAAGAACATATGTTTTTGCAAAAAAACTGCAAACAAATGCACCATAAAAATACTTTTAGTGGTCAACACTGTGTAGTTTGCTGTATCTTGCCACTAGCTAATGGAGTTTTCTTTTACATTCTCTTACAGACGAAGACGTCAAGATTCTTGTCAGTGTTTATAGCTACATGTTGTATTTGAAGTTAACTGAAAACCATACATTTGTTCTCATACGATCAGATTGTGTTTTAACAAATAAAAATTTGTTTGAATAATAATTCCGCCACTTTTTTCGAAGGTTTTATTTGCACAAACTGTGGTACCCAGGCCCTTATTACCCGACTGCACCTAGAGCGGATTTCGTATGACTGTGCAACGGCACTAATCACAACACGGGCATGGCACGGTCACGGAACCTCGCCTCACTAGAGCGGATTTCGTATGAGTGGGAAACGGACGGTACTGTACTGTGTCCATAATCGTACTGTAACCAAATTCTAGTGCCCCATKGGTTCACMAAAATTGTGCAGGCCAGGTGCGGTAACTGTGCGGTAACCGTGCGGTAACAGTGTCCCACTCATACGAAATCCGCTCTATGATTTCGAATATAAAAATAAAGATTTCACAATACATCACCGCTTCGGCACAGAACGGTCACAGTGCGAAAGTACCGTGTTTTTTGCACAGTCATACGAAATACGCTCTAAACGAAGGAATAAGGATGGTTTAAGGGCCTGGTACGAATTTTCATTTTCGGTAATGCTGTCAGCGTCGAACAGCATGATGGTTAATCTTGAAAATGTGCCTTCACTTCAGTATGACAACAACTTTTAAACGTTCAAAATGACTGCAAAAATACATTATGTTTATTACATATTTAAAACCGCTTGGCTGTTTTGCTGTAAATCCGTTTCATTCATGTTTAAACATTATTTTTTAGCTTTTGTTTTGAAAGCGAAAGGTGTTAAGTTGGCGCAATCCTTCAATTAAAAATCTTAATCTTATTGGCTAAAAGTGAGGTAACAAATTAAAACTCTAAATTTAAAACAATGTATTACCAAAAAAAGTGTCTTCAGTGTTTATTGTATAATAACCTCTGTGGGATGCTTATTAACTTTTCTAGCAGCTGCAGCTTGGATGCTTGTTTGTGCCAATATACTTAAAATATTGTCAACTCCGAACAGCCAACTGAGCATCGAGTCTCAATAATGAAAGCTTAAATTCCATATTGTTATATCAAATATTTTACTAATTTTAGCTCCAGAYCGCAGTATACCTTTTTATAATTTAAGCTTTTGTGTCTAATAATCTATCTAGTTTAATAAGCACTATAAAAAGTTACCACAATCGTACCTTATGGTTTTTAATTGGCTCTTCGTTAATTGGAACTGGCCTTCTTAAACCTCCCAGCTGTTTGTTAAATTCTATTACGAGCGCTCAAAATTCTTGTTTAAAATGCTTAGTTCCTTGAATCATAATTCTTAGTATTTTTACAGTAATTCGTAAGTATATTACATAAGTACATGTATCATAAGAAGGTGAGATAACTCTTCAAACCCTTTCGTTGAAAAATCAATATTTAGAATATATACCGTATATGCTAAGTAATTATAGACTCTCGTTTAGCTGGCTTCTTAAGCTTAAAAGCTTGAGGCTATGCATTTATCTACAGCACACAAGGCTAATGTATTTAGACCGTTCAGTATTTTTACCCTCTTCCGTGGGTACAACGAAATCAATCCTGTTGCAACTTTTAAGCCGCTACTACACGAACGATTTTCTCAAAATCACCAGCGCGCGATGTGGCTACAAGAGCGACAATGCTGTATCGATAAAAAAATCCTCACAAATACTTACTGGAATCTCCATAATGAGGTATATGTACAAATACAGCTCAAATTCGATTTTCAGCTTCAATCGTACCCAAAAATCGCGTCGCCTCCGCTAGCGAATAAATGGTTTTGATAACACACATTCAAAATCACTACAAATGGGTCACTTTCTGGATGTATATTTTGATTTTTGTGGGGTCAACAAGCGCAAATCGCAGGTCCACCCCGTGACTATCAAAAATTAGGCATCTGCTAAACCAGTTCTGGCAAGCACAAGGCTTTCGCCTAGGAAACAACGCCTTCGTGATCACGTTGCCTCGATGCTCTGTAAGTTTCAAGGTTTATCCCTTCAGAAGTTGTAATTTATGCAATTTGGACTGCTCTTTTTTTAAACACCAATGTGGGATGAAGAGGATAGATCTCGATTTTGTTTTCTCTCTGCCTTTTACTGCTCATGCTCTAAGGAGACCATTTTCAAACTCGTCTTGCGCAGTTTCGGTTTTCCGTAATTGTTATCTACCAATTTTAAGTTTAAAGTAATTTTAATAATAGATTTCCCTGTACAAAGAGCAAGAATTAGAACACGAATAGAAGTTGACTAATCATTTTCTGTGCTACAAACCTTTTATGTTTTGAAGGAGAGGTTTTCAAGCTCTGAAATATAGAATTTTTTGCATATTTTGTAGACCTTAACATTCAATATGTATCTGTTAATTACCTTCGGGTCCACTCACCGTCGGCAGCGGATGTAAGCACGAATTATATTTTTACAATAATTGGATGCAATTATTAAGTACGTTCAGCTTAACATTCTTTTCAAGATAACGCGTCTTTTTGAATTAGTCATTGAATATAACAAAAATATAGCATCAAAAAAAGTATTATTACATCGAACTAGTAGAAAGAAAATTGTATTTTGCCTTATTTTATGAGTTTTGGCAAAATGACGAAGGAACCATACTTCTTTATGCATTTCTTCTGAAATAATTAAGCAATTACTTAGCAAGATCTAGGACTATTCAAAAAGGATAGGTTCATTTTTCATATAATATGCATGTGTGTGCTAATAAACGCTGTGACTACCGTGGATTAGAAGAATACCGTACCAACATGGATGCTCGCAGAAATCAGAAGTGCTACTTTTGTGCTTTTTTTTGAGTGTGTGTGTGCTTTTGTTTTTTTCATTTTTGCCATGATTATTCAGTGATGGTCCACTGCTGTTCATATTTTTCATTTTTCTGGTGAAAACCAGCTGGTCAGCTCTTCTAACCAAACTCAAATATGACCATGAGTACTGGTCACTCACAATACGCCTGTCCTGTCTTTAATCCCACTCAAAGACAAAAGACCGTCGGCCATGTTTATAAATATAGCCATTCAAGCAAAAGTTGAATACTGAAAATAGATTCCAAAACCAAACGTCTTTCTATCGCCATCTAAAACGACTGTTTGCGTTTTCAGAGTATATAGCTATTTCAAAAAAGGTTGTCGGATAAAATGGCGAACGGCGACCGAAATTAGCCATGGGTTTTTCTAGTTGAAAGGCAATAACAACTGATTTGTATTGTAAGATGGTCTGTGGTAAATATGGCTCCATTTAGTGAAATTTTGTTTATCAAAACAGTCCAACCATAGTCCCTCTCGGTCGTGAAATGCTCCCTTCGACAATATCGCCGTTCTCCCCGTGGAATTTAATAGCAACAATGCATTGCGGTCTTTGAATATACTTTGCAGTTTTCAGTATTCAACGTATTCTGAAACAGCTGTAGCCATTAATCCTCGTTTTTGAGGGGCAGGCTGTATTGGTAAATAAATAAATAAATAAATTGCTAATAAGGAGTCATAACAACATGACGTCATGAATTGAAACCGGCAATGAAGTAAAAACAAAAAACAACACTAATTAGTAGTTCACAAATGACCAACAGCTTTATTTCTACGTAACATATMAGAATTAAGGTAAATRTATKACGTCATCATGGTAGATGTGACGTCACTTAGCATTTCGCGCATGTCTTTTGACACATGCCAGAGATTTGTGGATTGCCACACTGTCCTTTGAGGAAGCCGCARAGAGGATTGGTATCTTCACACACTGTTAAATGAAAAGAAGAGAAAAATAATTTATTTTTTAATGAGATACTGAATCAATTCCGTCGTCAGTCGACCCAGTCTGCTCTCTGTGTCGTGTTTCGTTGCGACAGAGAACGAACTGGGACCGACTAATGGCAATCTCGTCTAAAAATATACTAATATCTGAAAAATAAAGTATGCAAAAATATCGTTGTTGCTGCTGAATGCTAAATGAACCGTTCCCACACACAATATTCGGATACAATACTCCAGTTTCCAATTCTCTTTTGTGCAAGCTTAGCTTCAGTCGAGCATAAATTTTTATTGTCTTCTTTGTACACAGAGTGTTTGCATTACAATAGATTCTCTGCTGAATAAAAGAATATATTACATGCTTTCGAGGTTAAGGCTACACAAATAAGATCTCGGAAACTGGAGTATAGCGTACAATCAATGCACTGGATCTCTTTATATTTTGATATTGACGTCATGTCTAATAATAAGCGTAATTACATAATCACGTGATTACCTGCTGGTGGTGGTGGTGGTGGTGGGATTCCTCCGCCTCCTCCTCCTCCGCCTCCTAAAGAAAACAAATATCACACTTGTTACTAAGACTGAGTACCACCCCCACGGGAGACTTATAGCGACTCACCATTGCAAGTGCTTGTGTCAATTGGTAAAGGTCCTTTCAAGAGGTCAAGAACAATTGGGAAGATTGGATTATTGCCAATGGCAATACCACACTGAAGTTGGATCTATAGGAAAGTAGAATTTATAAGTTTAACAACTTTGGGTAAATTTATTGCTAACCTGTGCTGTTGGGTTACCTGTGTCCTCAAAGTCAAGATGGCGGATGTTTCGAAAAGGTAATGTTGTTGTATTTGTATTAATATATACTTCCAAATATTGCTTGCTAACATGCTATAGTAGTAGGTTCCGAAATTTTGCTTGAGAAAACATGCACAATAGAATTGAAGACAAGGGTTTTTGGGAAACAATAAAAAATCCTTTTGTTTCTCAGGAACCTCATCTTCTGCACTCCTCATGCGTGACTAAAATATTCAAACCGAAAGTAGGCTATTTCGAGGTGTTTCCTTCAAAAGAGAGACTACTTCTAGTCCTAAGTTTTACCTCATTTGAACAAAGGGAATATAACTAGATGGATTCCCAGTTGTTTTTATCACTGCTTTACCTACCTTGACATTGAGCTTTCCATTGTCTGGCCTCATTTTGACCATAACAAAGACTCCTCCTCGCAGAGGACCAAAACCATTCTCAAGTCCAGGAATTGGGATGGTCTGGTCTGATGGGAAGGTGTGGGCGAAGTTGATGTTGAGTGGATGAACCTGGGAAAGATCAAACATAGAAGCTTTGATCATCTGCATCACATGACAATCATATCATCATCATTATCATCATCATCATCATCATCATCATCATCATCATCATCACAAAATTCTAACATGAAACTGAAGGTGTGAAGAACAATGACATGACATGACATGTATTTCAAGCTAAAGTCCTGTAGAATGAATGACAAAATTGTTGATCACCCAATACCGAGTCAAAAAGTTGTTGTGTCAGMSAGCATTTTACCATCTGCAACCACCTTGTTGCATGTTGTTGGATGGAGCATCAATCATGTTGGATGGAGTTTGAAGGCATTATATATTTGGCCAACTTATTGGATGGTGCTTGATGTTATCGTATGGAGTTTCAAATATATTGGATGGAGTTTGAAGGTATTGGGCAACTTGTTGGTTAACACAAGATCTTACTCATATAGTGACATAAACATTTTTTTTATTTAACAATCACACAACTAATACACAAAAAAAGGTACCGTGAACATAGTCAAGTGTACAGATAAATTACATATTACAGAGACGTAATAGCAAACTATAGTATAATATTATAGAAATATAAATATATGTCAATTTCTATGGAGTGCATTCCTGTGACATAAACATAAGCAATACCTCCTCAATTCAAAACCATGACTGAAATTAGGCATTTCATATGCTCTATTTCAATAAAATATTTGAATACATTTATAATACAAATTGCTCCCCAACAATAATAATCAGCATTATTACAATCATTTAATCAAAGAATGTTGGYAAATTGCTCACCTTAAAGCTGATAGTGACGGTGACAGGGTTCTCACACTTGTTGATGGTCAACTGGAATTCAAACTTGAGTCCAACAAAGTCGACTTTGCATGTTTTCACTGAGCAGTCTGGGGAGAAGGTGCAGCCAAGAGGATGCTGGATGTTGCCACAGTTAAAGTTTCTTGACATTGGCGCATAGTTACCAACATTAAGGGCATTGTCAAAGAACCCTGGTGCTGTTAGAGAAAAAAAAATTAGAGAACAACAGACCAATCCCGCATTCGCTCGGATGAACACGAAACAATCGCTTCATTTCGAGGCTGGAGTTTTATCTTTTTTCGAAAACTCCACATTCAAATTGAAGCCATTGTTTCGTGTTCATCCAAGCAAATGCGGGATTGATCTATTATCATTTACAGTACAGTTAAAGGGCCAAGATCTACCAGCATTCAATGCGGTCGAGGTATAGATTTTTTACACTGTATATTTGGAAAATGAGGTGACTTCAAATATATGTTCGCAATCCGTTTCCATCCGTTGGTTTTAAGATCGAATCTGACAATGTCTCTACTCAAAGACTCATAAGGGACGATAAAGGCGTTAACGTCAATGAAGTAATCTGAACCTATACGTAATCATCAAAACGACTTCAAAAAATGTATATAACTGACCAAAAAACGCTAATGCAACGTCAACCTAAAAACGTAATTATCCTAAACGTAACTTGATTAAGTGAAGTCTACTAAATACTGAAGAAAGTAACTGATGTTAAAATCTCAGTCTCAATCAGTTGCGTTACGTAACGAACGCGCGTTTCCAGAGCTAGCGATATAAGCATTCAACGCAACGTATTGTAAGAGTTTTAGATAATTTCACAACAATAAACGTAAGAAGGACAAGTTCGCCTACCGTAAGCCTGCGAGGACGCAAGGACAGCAAAAACCACAAATAATCCGTAAGTGACCATCTTTAAGGAACGTTTTCCAACAATGTTAATCCAACTGGAATAGAACTGTATTTATACTGAGTTTTATTGGATCAGCCAACAACAGCTGAGACACTTTGACTCTTTTAGCCGCGAAGTTTAAATGGCTTGCCGCCCAAAGCTGTGTCTCTTTAAACATCAATCTCACACGTTTGTGCTGTATGGGTGGTGGACATCTGGAAGCCTGAGGTGATCGGTGGACCTTTGTGCTCTGTGTTCCGTATTAAATATTTTCATATGGAGATAATGTTTTTCACTTTAAGTGCGTTTTCCTACCACTCCTATTGCTACTCAAACAATTCAAACTCCGTCCAACAATATCATCCAACACTGTCAGACAACTTGGTCAAATCTTCAGAAGAGACKTTTTTATAGGATGCATCTCGTTTGAGAAATGTTTTGCACTTGTAGTTCTCTCCACTACCACCCCTATTGCTACTCAARARGKTGRCCAAACTCCATCCAGCAACAACAAACACCGTCAGACAAGCTGGCCAAAACTTCTGATTAGTCGGATATGTAAGATACATTTCTCATTTTAGAAATTTCTCGTAWTTAACTCAAAGTGGACTTCTCCTATAAAAGTCAAATGCTATATCAGCTTGCAAGCAATAAAACAATATACCTTTTTTTATTGACTGATTTGTTTAACCTCTGAATGACTTTGAACCAGATGACTAAAGGGTAATATTTCCCAATGACACTGATACCTTGCAAATGTTTACATATATATTTGCTTATTATTTCGGCATATTCCGATAAGAATCTAGGAACTATGAAAATGTAGTTTTAGGTGAATAACTTGGATAAGTCAGGTATAAAACTAAATTAAATCCATAAAAGCTATTTGATTTTAATCCATTTCAAAGCTATTATCAATAATCTACCCTTAGTGATATCAAGGTCTTGATAACGGATATCAGATCAGTGGTCTTTGGGATCACTGGATTTGTTGGATCATGGATCAAAAGTCTTTGGAATAATCAGCGATCAATCACATCTCCTGTCGATACTCTCTGACGTTCACCTATATTATAGATCTATATAGCGGTGCACGATAGAACAGTGAAAGTGAAATAGCACTCCTTCACATTTCGGAATACCGTCTATCTCCCTGAGACCTTACATTCGATTTTCAAAAGTATTCGAATTCTGGCAGAAAATTTTATCGAGCGAAGCCAAAACACCCGCCTAACCACCCCCTAAAGAGTCGAAAATCATCCTCGCCACCTTCGTAAGGGAGCTCCCCCGCTTTTTACATTCTATTTCAAATTAACTGGGTCATGCAACTCGAACTAGAAAGAGCATAACCATATTGTACAGAAATATTATTGCAAAGAAAATCATTATTTTTTTGTCGTATTAAAACACGCGGAGAACGGCAGAATAAAAACTTTTTCCGATTATCTCAGGCCTGCAGGTGTATATCCCACACAACACTGAAGTGTAAACTTGGTGTTTGCAGTTTCATAACTTTGGTTTTATTGCGATTGGATTTGAAAACGTTTGAAGTCGCCGCTACTATTTCTTTAGTGAAGTTTTGGCTTCTTTTTCTTGCTGGCTTTCGCTCGGTATAGGGAACGTTTTTTGCGTCCTTTAAATAAATACTAGTGATGCGTAAATCTCGCTATAGTGKGTGCGATATGTTCTGTTTTAATAAAAAAAAGAAAAAAAAAAGGAAGAAAACATGGCAATGATGTAGTTTGATTTCCCTGGTGTTTGTTCAATTCTTAGCTAACGTAATTCGGTAAAAAATTCTTACTTTCTAGAAACTTAAAGCCAAACCTGGTTGAATTCATGAGGTGTACTTAATTTTTTGAGTCGCTCTTCTACTCCCCCACCCCTTCCCCTCCGGGGATTATAAATACGAATACCACTTRTACGGTTGAGCATGCTATACGGTTGTCAAATAATCAACTTTATTTCTACTCAATATTACATTCTTGAATGTAATTATATGGCGTTGTCATGGTRAATATATGACGTCATTTAGCATTTTGTGCATGTCTTTTGACACATGCCACTGAYTCGTGGGTYTCCACACTGTCCTTTGAGGAAACCGCAGAGGGGATTGGTGTCATCACACACTGTTAAAAAACAAGAAAAATAGATAGAACACTTAGTGACTGGARGGACTGATAAATTTCTGTATGARTGCTGCGATCTTCAGAAGTCTTTTGCAGTTCCATCCGGTGTACAAAACAATGAATTTTAGTTCGTCAAAAGAGCGAAAATCTCTTGTTTTGTTCCAAGATGAAGCTGCTCAGACGTCATATGTAAAGAATCTGTAATGATGTTAATAATATTAATAATGTTGATAATATTAATAATGTTGATAATATTAATGATGATAATAATGATCACTTTGACTAAAATTTTAGTAATTTAGTACAGAAACAATCAAAATAATAGTGACGTAGTTTTTCACTAAAAAGTATTAATAATCATCCCTAGATTATTGATAATTCACAATTATTATCAACCTTACTTGAATTACATCAAAAACGTTTATTTTGAATCGTATCAAATGTAAATTAAGTTTATTTTGAATGTTGACGTCATTTCTAAAAATGGGCATAGTCACGTGATTACAAATTACCTCCTCCAGGTGGCCCAGGTGGTGGGGGTCCTGGTGGTGGTGGAAGTCCTCCTCCTCCTCCTCCTAAATAAAGCGAGTATATAATGCAAGTGTTCAAAGACAATAACAAGACTGTGTACCACCCCCTAAGGGAGTTAATTTTACTTACTTACCCCCACAGGTACTTGTGTCAATTGGTAATGGTCCTTTGATCAGATCAAGTCTGACTGGGATGATTGGTTGGCCGAGAATGGTAATACCACACTGAAGTTGGACCTAGAAGACAACCGATTTATCGTAAGTTTTAGTTATACATGAATGAATTTCTTTTAGCGCGCTTTCTCCCTCGAGGTCATACTAAAGCGAGGGCTCATAAGTCCCAAACGGTCTTGATCTGCATGAGCTTAGGGATTCCTGTTCCACGGCATTCAAAATGTCAGACCTATTTATACTATTCGTGAATATTCATTAGTATTGTGATAGTATAATTAACATTATATGATATCAACTAAAGAAAGTCGACAAGATGAGTACACAGCCCAAACCTTTGAGGCGCATATWTTCCAGGGGAGAGGTACACGGTGAACCTCAACCCGCTCCGCATGAAAACAAAAGGTTTTCGCTCAACCAGAAGCAGAATATAAAACCCATTTTGGGAAGATTCACKATAATTGAGCCATGCAAAGAACAAATAAACTAATTTTGAGTTTAATTTTCAATGCTGTACGAGAGGGGAAAAATGAGATCGATCTACCTGGACGTTAAGCTTGCCATTATCAGGCCTCAATTTGACCATGACACGCACTCCGCCTTTCAAAGGACCAAATCCTTGCTCAAGTCCTGGAATTGGGATGGTCTGGTCGGTGGGAAATGTGTGAGCGAACTTGATGTTCAATGGTCTGACCTGAAACATGCGGGGAATTATAACTCCGATTAAAATTACATTGTTATACACCTAAAATTTTAGAACCAAAAGAGTTTAATTTTAATACTGAGTGACATAAGAATCATTTCGTGCTGATATCTGAAAGTAGGTCTTACTGAATAATAAAAGTTTCTCTTACATTAAAGCTGATGGTCACGGTGACAGGGCTGTCGCACTTGTTAATTGTCAATTTGAACTCAAATTTGAGTCCAACAAAGTCAACAGTGCATGTTTTCACTGAGCAGTCTGRRGARAAGGTGCAGCCRAGAGGRTGCTGGATGTTGCCACAGTTGAGRCTTCTTGACATTGGTGCRTACTGGCCAACGTCAATGGCATTCTCAAAGAAGTCTGGTGCTGTTAGAGACAAAAAATGGAAGCATTTAGATGTTTTAAAAAGAAAATGAGAATAATTTAAAATAGGAACGTAAAAAACGTGCGGACTTGTCCTCAGTTCTTCATGCCATTTGGAATAGAGGAAGTCTGTATTTGCTGTGAAGGCAGTGGATCCTCATCAAGTTGGGTGCAAGAGGCTCACTTCCCTCCTGTGACATTGTAACTGTAATGTTTTCCCATACCGTGTACCTACTCATTCGTGACCGTATTTCTGGTATTCTAATCCCTCCTCTATAAACCTCTAACTATCCATGAGGAAATTGATGGATCCACCTCTTTTTGTGTCGTATCAAAATAAAACGGCAATGATAAAACTCTTATGAATTGTCTTCTATATGTGAGAGAGAAGGTATTGAGTGCAAACAATATACCTGTGAAATGATTAGTGTAAATTATCACTAAATAATGTTGATGAGAAAATAAGAAACAAAGGAATTAGTAATATTTTGTTAGCTCATATCTGTTTCATAGCTATATTGCTTGTTATCAATAATTCTATAATTTGAATACTAGTTTCGACGCAAAATCACGGCCACCTTTCAAAAAACATGGTAGACTTTTAAGGAGGGGCTTTCATTACATTGAATAGTCTCCTTCACGGTTCCCTGCGCCATCTTCAAAGGTAGCCGTGCCTTTGCATCGAAGCGAGATGACCGTTGAGCGTGCAATGATAGAAACCTTCTTTCACACCTATAGACAATTATTCACAGGTTTCTATCATTGCACGCTCAACGGTTGTCCCGCTTTGATGCAAAGGCACGGCTACCTTTCAAGATGGCGCAGGTAACCATGAAGGAGACTATTGCCGTGAAAGAGATTGGTTTTTCACCTACCGTAAGCCTGMGAAGAGGCAATGAATGCCAAAACTACTAGCAATCCGTAAGTAACCATCTTGAAGGAGCTGTTTCCAACGTGTGAAAATCCAAGAGCAAYTCAAACTTATTTATTKTGTTTCTTATTGGATCAGCTACGCACTGTAAAGGGACTCTTATTTTCTTTAATATTGTTGGGTGGAACATCTGGATGCCTGGGGTGATCGGTGGGCTTTTGTACTATCTGGTTCGTATATGAAATGTTTTTCTTTAGTCTGATATGTCATTTTATTCCGAGACGGAACTTATGTCTGAAACGCTTGAAGTTTTCTATCCTTTGACTGTGTTAAAATTGTCCTTTTACCCCAACTTTTTAACTAGAAACACTACAGACGGAGATTACTTACTTGTCTTCTCTAGACCCTGATTTGATGTACAAAGACTCGTTTATTTGGTGTTTTTTTCGCGACTTATATGCAGTCAACCATTATATCCTTGTCGTGATTCAATATATCAATCTGTCAAGTATTATTTATTTTAAGTAAATGATTTAATAATGTTGTGTTTATCCATCATTTTTGTGTATTTAGTCCATATTTCTGGCTTTATTCACGTCATTCCATCCATCACATACTCCCTTTTTGGGGGTGTTGTTCTCAAGTGTATAGTTTGGAGAGGCCGGATCGGACTCGGCAGAACACAATTTCCCGGGTAGAATTTAGACAGTAATACGTTATATGCTTATTGTTTCATTATAGAGTTCCTGCCAAGCTATAGCGAAAATCTCCACTTTTGGTGGCAATAACGATACATTTAGTTTCCATATATCCCTTAAGCTCATTTCGCACGCGCCTGCCGCGGTGTTATCTTCCTTGTGCATGGGGAGTGCGGGCTCGGAAACACCAACACATCTACCCCAAACAACATAAATTGAAACGAAGGGTTGTGCACTAAGTGAGACTTCCGATAAACTCATCCATGAAATGTTTTCCAGAGTTTAACGGCGAACCTTTTGAGCGTGTTCTGAATGGAAGTTACAAAACGGCCGCTCGCACTTTTTGCCTCTTCCAGACATATACTCATGCATGTGTATTCTTGAATAAAATATTCATTAAAGCAGTTTAATTCTTGTACTCAAATGTATCCTTTCCGCCAGTCTTATTTCTCTCACTGTTATATGGCTTTGAACACGAAGAGTCAAACTGCCTCTATAGTGCTCTCAATCCATTTTATTTGGCACTCGACTCGATTATTTTAACCTTGATTTGAAAATAGAATGAAATGCAAGCTTAACTTTGAAATATTAAAGATCTTTGCCATCTATAAAGGCTACGGAGACGAAGACGGGACGGGTCAGTTTGAAATATGAACTCTTAATATAAAATTTTAAACTATGGTCTTTTTATCGACACAAGAAAGGAAAATTTCGATTTACAGCCTCGTAGTTTAAAAAAAGTCTTATTTCCATGTCAATAATTTTTGCTTTTACTGCAGTAGATGGTTTGTTCCCTATCTAATTAGAAAAAAAACAAAAACAAAAAAAATAAAAATAACAAGGTTATTTCCCTCTGCCTTCTTCCTGCTTTGTTGATCACTTTACCAACACTCTTAGCGTGTTATTATTGAAACCAGCCTCCATTTACACTCTAACTGAACAATAATTGCAAAAGTACAACTGAATAAACCTTCAAACTGGGCTTTRTTATCTTAGCTGTGGACGTGACGTATTTGAACCAATTTTACAGTCAATTGTTTTCTTTATTCTTCCCCGAAACCTTTATTTGATATTTGAGCAGCTTTAGAAAGAAGTCAAAGTCAGTGATAAAATCTCTATTGTCACAAACACGAATGACACAAAAAAGTCACATAGAGTGAGTTTTTTTTAGGGAGAGGGAAGGGGCTGTTTTTGGATGAT